TTTATTCAGGAAAACATGGCAGACCAAGGAGAGGAAAAAACAAAAATTACCCTACCCTCCACCCCATTCCAAGTGTGACCATATTAAATGGGCTAGGACATAATAAATATTATTAAATATGATATATTAAATAGGAAAAAGGTTATGGTGCTCATTCCAGTGCAGCAGAACAAGGTCAGAATCTCTTGGGAAGTGCCCTTGATATCAAACAGTCGAAAGTACAATTGTGTTGTTGTTAAGCTGTCTAACTCTTAGCACTGTCACTGATCATATCACATGAATATTATAAAGCCATATTTTGAAGGACAAAATCTGTTCTTTGGGACACAAGCAAACTTTTCACACAAATGAAGGACATGAATTTTGACAGGAAATGTTTTTGGGTCCAGGACGCAATTTCTAATCTCAAAACTGCAGGTACAAGCCCCTACCCACAGTCAATCAGAGCATTCACTTATGCTTTGGTAAACTGAGATTTAAACACTTATTCTGACCGATTCAGAACAGGAGCTTGAACCTCTGTCTCCCTTGCATTTAATAAATGCCCTATCAACTGGGGTACTGGATGTTCTATGTTTGGGTATGTTTTATGCTCTCAACCCCTCACCTCATTCTTTTTCCAAGGTTTTCATGAGGAAGATTTTATTTTTGGCCCAATATGAACAAAAAACATGCATGCCCCCCCAGTTCTACTCAACCTGGAGAGTATCTAACACAAGTTGAAGTTGCAGCAAAAAGGTAATCTATTGATATCACCTGTTAAACTGATACCGAAGGACAGGACTGTTAAATTCTGGGTGAATTATGTAAAGCTTAATTCCACCATCAGGTATGTTACATCTGATAATACCCTCAACAAGTTGGCAACCATAGAAAACAGCCAATACCTTACCACAACTGACATAATTAAGGATGCCTCTGGATTCTATTAGCACTTTTTAACTCCTAAATTCATACTGCTACTGCAAGTACTTTATATGTACTAAGTGGTTTATAAATGATTTACTGAAAGCTTTAAACATCAAGGTGAAGTAACAGTCTAGCAAGTAATCATACCTCCTTTACCAAGGTATAGCTCAGCTTACCCCAGCTGTCCATTTTGTAGTTGTGTTCTCTTCCAGGAAAGAAATTCTAGTTTCCTTTGCCCGTAAAGGAGGAGTTATTGATCTTCCTGGTGATACAGAAGGAGTTGCTACAGGTGTGGTGCGAAGACTGGATCTCAAAATAGATTGAGGAGTAAACCCAGGGAAACCAGAGGAAGCAGCAGATGTGGCTAAAGCTTTGGCTCTCTATAAAAATAAAAACATCTTGCTTTAACAGTAAACCGTTTTCTGATCATTGAACAGAAGACTATAAACAAAATGTCTGCTCCAAACAAACTAAGGCCGGAACAGAAAGAATGAATTCTTAAATGCATTTTTTAAAATTTAATAGATAAAGCAAAATTTAAATTATTTTTTAAATGTAATAGATAGCAAATTAAGATACCCTAATGGTAACATCATGGCCGTCACATCTTTCATTTCATAGGATAATTCTGGTTGTAGTTTTAATCAGTTAACAAAAATATTGCTGCATATTTGTGTACAAGAGGAACTTTTGTTCTCATGCACAAAAGATCAGGGACATTTTTTGTCGCATGAGGGGGGAGAGGCGGGGGAGAGCGTCAGAAAAATCAACAAACACAGACTTCCACAAGTGCACTGGTATAACATTATGAATACAAAGAAAAATGTCAAGAACTGGTCAAGTCATTATTCTACTACCAAAACAAGATCATGTTCCTTGAGTTTATTAATAGTGTGTTCACTTGCATTTGATGATGCCTATTAAAACGAATCTTTATAAAATTCAAGTATACTACTATGTTGTAAAATACCTGCAACAATTAAGGGAAGACAGATGCACTGCATTCCTCATCATACCCGCATGATCTCTAAACAAAGAGAAAGGGCACAGTGGTCCTAAACCCCAAGGTGAAGATTACTAACACAGACACTGTAGCAAGTCCTCCAAGGACTCCCCCAAAGACGTGTAAGGGGCAAGGTCCTTAGGACCACAGCCAGAGAATATAGTGCTGCATCCCAAATGGCAGTCCAGATCTGTCATCTGAGTTTTCACTATTTTTGATAACCGTAACATACCCCTTACTCAAAGCTATGCAGGAGGCCTTTCCATCTTTCAGGGATTGGATGAAACCAAAAATCTTAAACACTATCAGAAATGTGACACATCCTCATCTGGAATATTATACTAAGTTCTGCTCACCTTTTCTTAAAAGGATTCAGTAGAAGAATATTCCATGTGAAGAGTTAAACGATCAGTTAAAAGAAATATAGTTCTATATTTTTCCTTTTACTATACCATATATACATACATGGCATGCGTATGTGTGATGAATGGAAAAATATTGTTTATGTATTTATCATATATGTACACACACACAACAAAGCAATAATAGTTCAACGAGGAAGCTTACTGCAACAAGGTATCATTGAAGGTAAGTAGTCAGGCAAGTTCACAAAAGGATTAGAGTCTTCTAGCCATAAAGCTCCAAGAAAAAGACTGAGATTTACACACACAAAAACATCTAGCATTACAGTCAACAGGCAAAAACAAGAGATATGCGCTCTGCACCAAGTCAAAAGGAAAATTAACTACATGAAACATTAGAAACTTCTCTACTGACTCAGTTTATTCCATAGCTGTTACCTGTAACTGGGGAGCAAATGGACAGGCTCAACATTAAAATGTATGTTTTAATACATTTTGTTTTACAATGCTAGATGGTAAAGCACATATTTTTATTAGATTAGCGTAACAAGCGACTGTCCTGGAGCCAGTCTAAAAATAAGCCCCATGCACTTGCCTTAGGGCCAGTCGCCTGTCTCCTCGCCTGCCATGCCTTGATGTTACTAATTATCCAGTGTTAATCAGGCAGGAGGCTGCCCATGTATCTGCCCTGATGACAAGGGCCTATGTATATGACTCTGGTCTCCCCTTATCATATCCCATGCCTTGCAGATGTTTCCTCCAGCTAGCGCTAGCACTGGGACCCAAGTTCCAGAGTCTCATGTGGGACTCTCACTCCCCACCGGAGCTTGTGGTCCCAGTGCCCTCACCCTGGGTTCTCTCTTTTTACACACACAACACACACACACTCGGGGCTCCAACACTTTCTCTGGGATCAAGGCTCCAAGCCCTCTTTGGCTATCCCCCTATCTCTGGCCCTGGGAGCTTCCTTAATAGCTCCCCAAGGCTCAGGGCCCCACCCCCTGGAGCTTCATGCTGGCTCCTATATACAGCCTCAGACCTCCACCAAGGGTCTGGACGCTGCCACAGGTCCCTCCACCAACCTGGGCCCTGCTCCATTTCTCTTGGTGAATCTGGGCTCCCCCTGCTCCATCTCACCCACCAGGGATGTGGGGCTGGGGGGGTTAAGAGGTGCCCCATACTTGCCTTTCACCAGGGCAGTAATTGGCCTGGCATTTCTGAGGGACTATCCTGCCACAGACAATACCACCAGGCCACCTGTCCCTAGCAGGGCATAGTTTTCTGTCATGCCCAGGACCATGGGGCTGCCTCCTCCCCCATAGCCCCAGCTCTTACCTCCAAGATGCTGCTCTTGAGCAGCACCCCAACTAAGTGGTGTTCTCCCCAGCTGCTGGCAGCAAGCTGCCACCTCTTTGCAGTTCAAGGCTCAGCTCTTATAGAGCACAGCTAGGCCCTGCTCCCAATCAGGCAACTCTGCCTAATTGGCATTGCAGGCAGCTGCAGGCTGCCTAGCTGCCACTCAGGACCCTGCTAGTAACAGAGCACCCTGTGCTCTTTTGTTACAATTAGAAATAACCTACTGATTTACAAGATTCCTTTCCTCTCTAGGTATGATTTCTAATGGCACTATATATACAAATACAATGCTTTTAGAGAGCCAGCATTTTGATGCCTATACATTTGACATTCTGTATTGTGATGTTTCTCACAAAGTTTAAAATACTTAAAAAGAGTAGCAATTTTACATACCTTAACCACAATAGGAGTCTCCAGCAAATTTAACTCTGATGGTCTTGAAACTTTCTTGTGAGACACGGAACTCTGTGACGTTGACTGCAGTGGGCTGGAAACGATGCAAGAAGCAGCAACTCTACAGGGTGTCTGCCAACTCCTCTCAAGTGCTGGAGAATACAGAGGAACTGGACAAACCACCAAATCCAGCAATCTGTCAAGGTTTTAGATTTAAAATGTGAAAATCAAATTTGCTTTAAAGTAGTCTAATCTGATACCTTACAAGAAAGATTACCTGCTTTTCTTGTTTTGGACAATAGCTTAATAAAGCCTTATTGTTAAATCCATGAATTAATAAGTATGTGGCCTTGATGATGGCTTTTAATTCTAACAACCCTTAGTTATTAGAGGTACCTCCACAGACAGCATGAAACTATATAAATCAGGTAGACCTAGGTTTTGCTTCAATTGCCATACTGTTCCTTCATCAGCTGGAAAAAGTGCACTTACAAACTTGGCAGCTGAGCCTCTGGGAATGTGAACACTCCTTTCTGAGCAAAAGCTTTGCAAGTTAAATTCCCTCTCCACAGAGAAGTGGGTAGCATTATTCACCATGCTCTTCCTGATTAGAAAATAGTTTAAGCTGAGGCAACAGGTAAAGTTCTATCAAAACTTCAGCAATTATGGCCAGCTTAAAAACTTCAGCAGCAATATTATACCCTAGGCAGTGGTAGCAAGACCTTTTTATAAATAAATAAAAAAAAAACAAAAACCAAAAAAACCCACGAATGATTAAGGGTGGAGGCAAAAGTAACCTATGAAGAATTTAAAAGTGCAGCTGCACTTTGAACCATTTCAAAACTGGAGCACTTCAGCTGTAAACAGATGTGCAGCCTCTTATCATGACCCCCAGACAGAGCATTTCAACATTGCTGCAATAGTATGCTTTCTAGTCAGAGGACTTCAGCAATCAAAGGGCCTTAGGGGAGAGAGTAGGGGAAGGACAATCATATTGGCAGAGTAGAGGTAGGGCAGACAAGAGAGCACTCACTGACAGTGGCTTGTTCTCCTTGCTCTCTGATATGGGGGGCAAAACGTGGAGGGGGGAAATACAGAATAAGCAAAGACCTATGGGATGCCAGAGGACCCAGAGATCCCCTGTCATGTTCCAATGGGTGGGTGAGCATATATTTTAGAGGACAGCAGAACTGTGTTTCAAAAAAAATTAATCAATTAAAAAAGCAGTCTGAAACAAACAGGATGAAATCAGTAAGAAGTGCAAACTACAACATTTAAGAAGGAACAAATCAAATGCATTAACTAGGCTGCAGTACTTCAAAAAAGGATCTGCAGATTACAGTGGATCACAAGCTGAACAAGTTAGCGTAAAACTGTTACATAAAATGCCAACATACTGAGATGAATCAAGAGGAATGTTAAAACATAGCCCAGAAGTGATTTTTCCACCCTATTCAAAGCTGATGAGGCCTCACCTGCAGTATTGTGTTTAATTTCAGGCACCACCCTTCATGAACATAAGGGGTGCTATCTGGGTCAGACCTATGGTCCATTTAGCCCAGTATTCAGTCTGCAAGAGTGGCCAATAATAGAGGGAGAATATAACAATGGGGCCTGTCTTGACCGACCCATCCCCTGTCATGCCCTTGCTAGAATCAACCATTTTTGGCTTAAGGAATGAATGTCAGGATACATCCCCAATCGTTCTTTTGAATATTTAATGCATCTGTTGCAAAGATGTGGGCAAACTAAAGAAAATCAAAAGGAAAGCAACAAAAATGATTAGGAAATATAACATACATGGAAAGACTGGAAGAGATGAGAAGCCAGATGGGATTTGATAAGTCTTCAACTACAAAAGGTTTTTAATAAAGAGAATGGCAACCAACTGTTCTCTAGTTCCACAGGGGACATGAGAAGCAGTCACACAGGTTTAAGTTACAAAGCTGATTTAGGTTAGATATCAAGAGCTTTCTAACTATGAGGGTGGTTAAACAACGGAATAATCCTAGGGAGACTGTGCAACCTTCATCATTAGAAGTTTAGCTGTGGGGTAGACAAACACGTGCTTGGGATGATGTATATTCAGAGAAAGACCTTGGTTTTACAGGAGGATACTGCATTAAACTAGATGACTCTTCGTGCTATTCTGTCTAACATTCTATAACCAACCGTCCAACATGTTATTCAGTTTTGCTAATATGACTTAACTGTGTTATACTGCCTAAACTGCAATTAAATACCCAACATGTAGAGTCTTTTCCCCCCAAAAGTTACAATATAAACAGACATAACACAGACAGAAATAATTTCCCCTATTTTACAGATGGTGAACTGTGTCATGGGGAGATTAAGTGAATTTGCCCCAGATCTCCTAACATACAGCCTAGTGCCTTTGCCACAAAACAGACTTTAGTCTAGGCTCACTTCTCCCTTTAATCCATTTCCAAGGCTTGCATGCATTACCACCCTCCTTTCAATGTATTCTCCCTCATGTCCATCACACCTTTATTTTGGTCTCACCCTTTATCAGGTCCTTCCCTTCTACTAAGCCCAAGTTTTCCAGCTTCACGGGTCTTGCTCCATGATGTGGAAATCAGAAAAATATTTTAATGTTTTCAACTTCTCTCATAGGGTATTCCCTACTGCCATACTGGGGCAATACAGGCATGCTCAGAGTTGCTCCAATTTCACTGATTAAGCAGAATTTTTTGAGCCTGAGGATTAAAAATTTTTTTTCTAGCAATTATAAAACCATTTTCCTAGAAATAAATTTTAGGAATGCAGAAAGCTACACATGCAAAAAGGAATAATTATCAAAACAACTTAAAACTGTGAATGCTATTAACTTTACAAGACAGTACTTAAGTAAAGCTTAAGTTACTTAAATATTTAGAATGGCAAGTGCTCACGAACGTGAATCTTAATCGTATACCCGCTTAAAATTTTAATCTGAAATTCTACTTTACCTGGAACTTTTACGTGAAGACTTTGTAATTGGGGTTCCAATGAATGGTTCAGGTAATTCTGTACCAGGGAGCAGCTCAGGTGGTGGTTCTTCAGTTCTAGGACTACAGATGAAAGAGGAATTTAACTATCATCATCCACTGACAGGCCAAAAATATTTGGATTAAAGTTTATTATAGGTAGAGCTGATAGCACCAACTATGGTTAAGGTTGTCAGGCACTTTCCCCGTTGCTTAAAATTTTGCCGAACTTTAATCTTTGGGGCTGAAATGAAGCTGGTGTTCTGTGGGGAAAAAGTAGTATTTGAGCATGTATGCAAAGACTGTGCACAATAGGGCTCAATAAAGTTCATGGGAAGCTTAATTCTGGTATTTTGTAGCTGTTAAGAGTTTGATTTTGAAATCTTAACATTCCTTACACAGACTTTTTTCTCATATATAAAAGGCATGAGGCAGATAAGTGAAGGAAAACTATGGTTCTGAGAAAATAACATAACTTTGACAAAGCTAAAAGTAACATCAAGATGTTATGCCTAATGAACTCCAAACCAGACAAAGATACATATATGCCAAAGCATGCCATTGCAAATTGCTTTGAAAACAGCTCAGATATTTCTGGTATCAAATCAGCTTGTTACTGAACTTGTCTAAAGCTTATGGGTTTTTTTTGCATGCTTGTAGCTTTAACAGCAATATCATAAGGGAACATAGGAAGTTCTTACCTATCACACTGTGAATAATTACTCTTCAATTCATTTCCTGTCCACACCTCTCCAATTTTGGACAATACATTATTGATGAAAGTTGCTCTTGTAAGCACATTTGCTGCAGTGGCTTGTTTTGCCACTGTTGATAATGGCTTGGGCCTTGAAACTAAAAATGAGGGGGGAAAAAAGAAGCCTCATATCAGATATCTGAATACAAACCTATAAAAATTCATCAGAGTTTTGAAGCAAAATTCACCTTCCCGCAAAATCGACGAAGGCAAATGGTAAGGTTTGGCCCTCTCAACAGCCAGCTTCCTCTGCACTCTGGGAAGGATCTTTCCATACTGATCCAATATAGAATTTCTGGCAATGGATCTCTCTTTCAAACGAGGATCACGGTCATTCTAATGAACAAACAACAAAAACCAAACAAGAACAAAACAAAAGAAAAAACAAACCACAAAATCAGCTACATACAAATACAAACCATTAATTTAAATACATAGAACACTCTTAAGGAACTATGGTAACGTAAAATAATTTTAGCTCTCTACATATTAATATACACGCATCAAATGGTAGAATTTTTTTCTTCAGTCTGCATGTTGTTTATAGCAGTGGTTTCTCAACCTTTTTGTTCCAGGACCCATTTGTAAACATCAATGGCCAGTCCCAAGCCAGTGCACCTTACTTCTGACCCACTGCCCTCACCCCCAGACTCCAGCCTCCCAGTGTGTGTGGGGTGGGGGGGTGGATGTATGAGGCATGGGGGGCCCCAAGGACCCCTTGCAGGCTGCAACTCTGCCAGCCTGCAAGGGAAAAGCCACGGTTTCCCACGGTTTTCTCCTTTAAAGGAGAAACCATTTTTAAAGTTTATTCATGACCCTTTCATATACTCTTGGGACCCACTTTTGGGTCACAATCAATGGGTTGAGAAACACTGGTTTATAGGCCAATATTGATGGCAAACAGTGAAGGGGTTAAACTATCAGCAATCATTAGTTAACAACAGTTCTTCCACTCGGCACCTTTCTGCTCAGAATTTCAATATTAAAAGATAAAAAATTCTTATTAAAATTAAGCTTTGCATCTCTCTAAAACAGGCCAAGTTAAAAAAACCAGTAGTTTTACTTAAAAGTTTAATGCTACTGGCTGGAACAATCCTGACAACTGTTCAGCTGAGTGTACAACTGAGTTATTTTGAAAGAAATTACTTGTTATATGAGTTATAAGAGTCTTATACATATACAGATATAGGTGGATCTAAATAAGAGATCGACCTGTGAAACCACTGTATGAATCTGCAGTTCCATTCAGTGGTTTATGGAAGAAGCGTTCTTCAAGGATTATAAAGTACTTCATACTGCATCTGTCATATTATATATAATCTCTATAACACAGGGGTGCTCAACCTGTGACCCATGGAGCCATAACACCTGGCCTGCAGGGCTCCCTACTGGTCAGCAAAGTTGGCAGCAGGGGAGCAGTGGCAATTAATATGGCTACCCTCCCACACTGCCAAATTCCCAAGGCTCAAGCCCCAAGCCGTGGATTGGAGCTGGGCTGTGCCACCTCCCCACCAACTGGATCAGGGCCTGAGCCATGACTCCTCTCTACATAGCATAGTACCCAGACCATGCCTAGCTAACTAATAAAATAGCAGGCAAGAGACAAAAGTAGGCAACACAGCATGCCTTTTATGCCACAGGAAAAGAAACTCATACCATACCCAATTCTGTGACCTAATTTCATCTCATTTTTATTTTTATGACTATACTATACACATCACACGTACACGTACACATACCACACACACACACACACACACACCCCCCTACACATTATCCATGAAATTCATCCGGTAATGTCTACAACAAGAATTCTAGTTAAATCTAGTATCTGCACAAATATAATAAAAAGACACTCTCTTCTCTTTAGCAATAAAATTTAACATTGAATTCCAAATATAGAATGACAGAGTTTAACTGTAAGTTTGATCTAAAACTACTTCGTGGATTTGTAACCAGAAAACTTTCTAGCTGTTAAAATGTAGTTGTAATATACATTGAACAGCTATTTCCTGGGGTCAAAGAAATGGCATCAGCTCATATTAAACATACCAGATATTAGAAATGAAGGGAGTAAGATAGTTTTACAGCAGGCTATCACATGACTTTCAGTCAAATGACACATGGTACATTTGGCCCACTCAACAGAATTTTCAAGCTTACCATGAGATTAACCTTTAATGATTGATTCAACTGTAATGCTGGGATGTAGTTGGCACGCTGGAGATGGTGGACTAACAGGAACTCATGATTCTGAACACCAGCACAGGTTTGCAAAAACTTCTCTAAACACTCCTAAGAGAAAAAAGATTATTTAAGTGTTTCTTCCAAACTACTTATTAGAGAATTTTTCTTCCTGCTCACACTTACTTGTTCAGTACTGGTGAATGGTAGTTTAAGTAAATCTTCCATTAGCCCCATCTCCTGGCAGATTTCAAACATGTGTTTTAACAGCTCTTCTATATTTAGCCTGGTGGAGTGCTGCCGCAATAGACTCCAAGCCTCTACCATGCACCTGCAATTAATGCATGCGATGTATAGAGTAATTATGACCAAATATTTTGCATGAAGTCTTGTATATCAACAGTTAACACTAATCATTCAGAAACTCTTGTTGCTATCACAATCCAACAGAATAATTAAAGATATCTTCTATAGCTTTACCTATTAAACAATAACACGGTGAGATGAAGCTGCACTTCACTGCTATTTGACATGGCTGGCTTCATCATCTGTATATATCTCAGGGCTCGTCTATGCTCTCCTTGACACATCAGAGCTTGAATAATTTTCATATGTTGCCATGACATGGTTTTGATTGTAGCTGGATGAAACAGAAGGGTCAATGCATTCTGCAGAGGTTAGAAATAAAATTTATTATGAGCTATAAACAAATGGACATTCCTTTCATGATAAAAGGCTTAAAGCTTCCCAAGTGAAAGTCAACCGATTTCAGATGCATTTACAAGATCAGTAATTGTATATGTTCATACCTAACGTTTAAACAAATGATTGTTGCAAAATGTAACAAATTGAACTGAAGATCATAATTTGAAGTCACAGGTTTAGAAAAACCAGATTTCCTCATTTTATGTCATGTTAATAAACTCATTTTGATGAGGTCACATTTCATTGATTGGTACTTGATTTGTTTACAAGTCACTGTAGAACTTCCACTTGGCTTAACCACAGCATGGAAAACCAACAAATTTAGACCTGCATTAGGTTTGAGAGCCTTTACAGCACCATGCCTCAAATCTTAATACTGAACCCACAGCTTTAAAATAAAGCATTTTGAAAACTATGTAACCATGTAACATGTTGGAAATATGCTCATGTTTTACTGAGCAGAAACAGAATGTTTTGCTGAATCGGGTCCTAGCAGGCACTTGGAAAACTCAAACATTAGGAATAAATAGGTTGATTACATTACTGAAAATTCCATTTAATTAAAAATTAATTATAATTAAGATTTCTGAGCGCATTTGATTGTTGCTATCTGACAATTTAATTTATGCATTAACAATATGTAAAAAGTAAAGCTTCTAGCTTATATCTTACTTGATTAGTGAGATCGTAACTTTGCAAATACATACATCTTTTATGTAAAGAACATACATACCTCATAGTCATTGTGATCCAAAAGCCAAAAGCCTTGAATAAGCTTCACCAGACCCCAAGGGATAGCAAAAGCAGTTGGGAATGAGTCAATTGATGTCTCTGTTTTGTTTGGAAAGAACTGCATAATATCTAGCAGCAAATAAATTGACTGAGTAAACATTTGATTAAGGTAAATCATTTTGTAAGAGTAAAATTTTCTTTAAATTTAGGGATAAAGGATGGAAGTAACTTAACAGTCTTGCAATTTTGCAGTTCATTGTAACTGAAGAAAGCCAAGTTTTAAGCCCAAAGCTGCTTTGTGAATCAACATAAAAGAAAAAACAAAACAAAACCAAAGCTCTTCTTTTTAGTTTTTAAGTATTGAAAAGCTGTAATAATTTTACAATTTAGTTATTTACAAATAATTTTACAAAGTTTACAATTTATAATTTAAAAACATTAAATTGGGCTAGATATCAGGAGGCGCTATTTCACTGTCAGGGCAGCTAGGATCTGGAACCAACTTTCAAGAGAAGTGGTGCTGGCTCCTACCCTGGGGGTCTTTAAGAGGAGGCTGGATGAACACCTCGCCGGGGTCGTTTGACCCCAGTACTCTTTCCTGCCATGGAAGGGGGTTAGACTTGATGATCTGCTCAGGTCCCTTCCAACCCTACTAACTATGAAACATTTGGATAACCCTGGAAAGGGAGCCTTAAGGTAACAAAGCAGACACTTGCATTACAGTTTTTGTTTTTTGATCCTACAGCAACTAGGTTCCCTGACTTCACTATATTTGATAGATTCCCCCACAAACCTGTGTTGTGGAGAAAATAAAAACTAGGTACAAATGGGAAAGATCCCACCAAGAAATAAACAAACCTAACTGAACTTGGAAAGAACTTGGGTATTACTTAATGGTTTTGTTTGCTCCTAGCCTTCTCTTTTTGACCTACTTGCCTTTTTAGTTGCATATTTCAGTAAGACAACTTTGACAGGGAGCAGTGCTTAAAATCCAGAAGTGTCCTTCATACTTAGGCTAAGCAGTAAACTGAGCAGAAGGAAAGCAACTATTGCATATATCTTGGTATCCTGAAAATTAAGCATTTCTTCTATTATTCTCCCCTTTCTCTCACTGGCATTCCATCTGCCTGTGTTTTACTAGAACAGTAGCAAGCATTGTTTGTTGTGCTGGAGAATCCGTGATTTCAGCAAGAATGTGCATTTCTGCAAGTAGCATTAGGTAGCCATTACTTTTTTAGAGAAAAAAAAATTCTTAAAACATTTTGGTGCATCACATCAAATTGTTACACAAATGTGTAGCAAAATTAATCATAAAAGCTTTTTATTTGAAGATAAATTTCAATCAGAGTAAAATGTTCTCTATTTAACCTTTTAAAACCAGAAATTTTTTAGCCACAAAAATATAAAAACCCCATATATTCTCTCTCCTACCTATGCTACTCTCTTTATCATTAAAACTCATAATGCATATAAGGTTTAAAAAACATTTTCAACAGTATTATTGCTTGATTATAACTTTAATATGTACAACACTACCGAAAGGATACAATTGCATGTTTGTAAGTTTCTTCAATATTTTCTAACAAATAGAGATCAAGCAGTGCCTGTCATGAAAAAAAGGAAAATATTGTTCACATGTCAAGTCACTCACTATATTTTGCTTTTTTTCCCTCTTTAAACCCTACTTACATGTAGGCTGGCAGGGGGGTATTTTCCAGTTCCTCCTTCATCTCTTCGCCACAATTTCTCGACTGGACTGCCTAACTGGGAAAGTAGTCCATCAATCATCAAGCAATCTGAGTCCCATTTCCCTCTGCAACATGAATTTGTTAAAATAAAAACACAACGTTATAATTCTAATACCGGTTGTGAAAACTCAGATACCAATAAAAAGAGACTAAAATGGAAATGACTATTTTAAAATCATGAGAACTAAATTTGGAACATGCATACTTCTGAATGAGTTGAAAAGGAGAAAACTCAACTGGTTCAATCTGAGACACTAAGCTAGCCAAGGAAAAATTTTAAAAAAAGTTAAGTAATCCAAAAAGTTTGTATTTTAGTAGAGATCCTAAATTCTTAATACACTTGAAGCAAAATTAATTGTGGCTGTCTGACATTTAGACTTTATTACTATTAACTCTTTTGAGGCTGTATGGTTTTTAGGCTCTCTTACTATTAACTCTTTTGCTACAGAAACTATAAAATAAAAAAGTTCCCGTAAACTGAAGTATCAAAACTAAATAACTCTACTTTTAGTGTATAAAAGAAAAACTTAACAGTAAGAAAGACTGAAACTTTTCCCCATAGGTCTGTCACAATAAACATTTAAGTCTTTCAACAGAAATTCTAGATGACAATAACTCTTTGGTTTTACTTTTTTCCATATAAGAAACCCCAATTTCATGAAGCTGCACATGCATGTTAACCTGAGCAGTCATTCAGTTTTTTGGATTAAACGAGTTCCCTTCATAAAAAGAATGAACAAATACACAGAGGACCAGAAACCACAAAAACAAATAAAATAATCTTTACAGATGAAAACAGCCCAAGTGCACTTAACAGAATTTGTGCCTGCATAAGGATCAGAAATTTATAACAAAAAAAAGGTGCTGATTTAAAAAGAAATCCAGTTCTAATTTTACAAGCTTAGTAACATTCGAGAGTTCTTGGAGGAACCTCACCTTGACAAACGTTCAAGTTTCTGTCGATGACCAGTATAGTAACTTTGTATTAGTTGATAATTGTAAAATGGCCTAGACAATTGCATATCATCTACATACAACAAGAGGAAAAGTAGTTAAAAAACCTAATAAAATATTAAGTAACTTTAATAAAAAACAGAAAAAATCTCATTTGTACATAAATGACAGTAAAGATGACAACTTCGGAATAAAATAGTTTTGACTCTTAATTTGCCAATCAGATGGCAGTAAGGACAAGGTTCATTTCATTCCTGAGTTTCATAAGCGACACATTTGACGAGAAAAACACCTGCTATTTATTCTTCAAGCAGGAAAAAATCCAAAGCATTTAAGAAGCATAACTTTTAACAGCATAAACTTACAAATACTGGCGGTTTTGGAACATGTTGCTAGAAACCCAAATACATGAATATCTAAAACCACTAAAGGAAGCTTACAAACCCCAAACACTTAAATTTGGCATATATAAAAGTATTCCTGGATTAAAAGTGGAAGCTTATTTTGTGGCTCATTAAAAAAATAGAAATAGCTAGTTTATCTTGATCAAACTGTACTAACACTTTGTAGCCTATATTGATGAATATTTTATCAAATTATGGTTAAGAATTTTTCTTTAAAAAAATAGCCCACAGGGCAGTAACCACTTCACCTATTAGAAATGTGTGTTATGGCTTAAAACTTACCTAGACCCTCTGGAAGTAGATTGGACCTGCAAAACCAGATGACCACTTGTACATAGTGAGATATAAGGCTGGTTACAACTTGCTTGTTTGTCAAATCTGTAAGACCTATAAAGTATGCACACAATTACTGTTGCCATTCTACTTTATAATTACCAAAAATTTTTTACTACAATCCCATTGATAAAATATATCACTCTCAACACTGAAAGCACTACAAGTTACTAGGGGTGCACCGATAAAGATTTTTTGGACCTATACCGAAGGCCAATTTTTAATGAGCCATATCAGCTGATACCAATCCAACTGCTGATATGCAACCTGGCAGCTTGGACAGCAGTGTCTGGCTGGTAAATCTGATGTAGAGGAAGGGGGGTGGGAGGGGTGCATATCGAGACCCCTATGGCAAGGGAGGGAGTGGGGCTGGGGCTGCCCAGCTAGGGCAGGGTGGGGCATGGGATAGAGGCAGCAGCTTGTTGGGCGGGGGCAGATCCTCCTGCTACGTGCACCCCAAGGAAGCCATGGCAGGCGTGTGCCCTCCGAAACTGTGCGGGGTGAGGGCAGACTGCTGCTGTGGGCTGGGGCCACCCCAGAATTCACCACAGTTCACCCCGTTGTCCGCCCTGACCCCCTCCCAGTGGTGCCGTCACCTGCCCTGAGCACAGCCCCGGCACTGCTCTCCCTGCCGGGAAGAGCCCAGCACCACCCCCAGCCCATTCTTGGGGTTTTCAAAACCCAGCTAGGCAAAGCTTTGGCTGAGATGATCTAGTTGGGGCTGGTCCTGCTTTGAGCAGGGGGTTGGACAAGATGACCTCCTGAGGTCTCTTCCAACCCTTACTTTCTAGGATTCTATCAGCGCACCTCTACAAATTACATGTACTCTGGAACCAAAACTGGTATTCATGACAGAAAAACTAGTGTCATTATTTTAAGAAAATCTAAATCATACAATTTAGTGGACACTTTGCTATGCTAAGCAAACAAACATCTTTTATTATTAAGTAGTAAAGGAGTTTTATGGGAATGGTTACAAAGAAACAGATTGATGCAGCATGGAGGTACAATATTTGTATGCTATTTAAAATATAGTAGTTGCTCAAGATCTCAGAATTTGTGAAATGACAAGAGGAAGTTTGGGACTTACAAACATACCTCACCCTGGCTGCTGCAGCTTCTGTTCACATATCCCAAGACAACTTTTGAACAGAGTATCTTGTCTAAAAATAAACCACTTTCCAGAAACACTTCAGTAAGCCATAGCCCCCAACCCTCTTCATGTTCCAGCTGCATACTCATCAGCAGCTGGAACCTTAACAGATGATACAGAACATCTTTGGGCCTGGTTTATGTGGCACCTTAAATTGAACATGTGGCATGCCTGTCCCCATGCTAACAATCAGCTGACTGACTTCATCTAAAAGCATTGCTAACCTTGGCCATTTTCAAGGGGCCTAGGTGAAGCTGCAGAAGCATGGCTAAGCAGAAGGTCCCAAAGCCTTTTTTCTGAGTGACCATAGCATGAACCTTTGCAGATGTGACAACTAGCTACGGTCAGCAAAGTAAAAGGAAGCCATCCAGATGGGTAACTAAACCAGAAAATGAGATACAATTAAACAGAGCATAAAGCCTGAAAGGAAACATAATAAGGGAAGGCCATACGTTAAATAATCCCCAAACACTATATCATGCCTTTATCTTAAAATATTGGTCGTAGTGATTGATGTATCCAAATGTACCAGAAATTATTTTACTATAATACATATATTTCATTAAGATGCTTAAGTGATCTGTAGAAACAAAACAACCCTGTTGATGAAGACCATAAACTAATGTAAAGAACAAACATGCCAAGGCTGAACAGCATTCCACAATGAGGAAGGAAAAAGAGATAAGAAACCCTCCCTTTTACTTCTCCAATTATATAAATCCCAACTAACTGACACCTTTCGAGTCCAAAAGAAATCTGATTCAGTCCACAGATTCATAGATGTTAGGGTCGGAAGGGACCTCAATAGATCATTGAGTCCGACCCCTGCATAGGCAGGAAAGAGTGCTGGGGTTAGATGACCCCAGCTAGATGCCTATCTAACCTCCTCTTGAAGAACCCCAGGGG